TTATTTTTGAGTTTTATTCAAGTATTGCCAATCTAAGAGTAAAAAGATACTACAGAGAATACGGGTGCTTAAATAACAATAGGAATTGAATAAAACTAAATTTACGGATTCTATCGAGTTTAATTATTTACTTTTACTTATTTTTAATTCCCAACGTTTCGGATGCTTTAGAGCACCTATCGTCACGGGGGGGACTGAGATGTTTGACGTCCCAATGTCATTGTTAGCCCGGCTACCTTCAGTTTTTGAAATCCTGATAACACTATTGGTCACATTGTGTATAGAAAAAAACCCATACCAACCGATATTTAAATGATGAATCTCAACATCATCCTTCACAGTTAGCTACCGTGGGTAAATCTTTGTTTCTCTAACACTATTGGTCAAACTGTGTATAGAAAAAGGACCCATACCAACCGATATTTAAATGGTGAATCTCACCATGATCCTTCACAGTTAGCTACCGTAGGTAAATCTTTGTTTCATAGAGCACGAGGGATCTGTGACAGAAAACATCTGGCCGCCGAGCTTCAACATGTCAAGCAAGTGTTGCAAGACAACAAGCTTCGGGTTCCGCGCCTACGTCACAGTGACCGAGTGAAGATATATCAGAGGAGTCACAGACAAGGATGGCTACATCTTGAAGCGAGCTTCCATTAAAACATACTACAAGCCGCCGAAGAAGATTAGTCAATTTTTACCATCCGTCAAGTGTAATATCTCTCTACAAGATGCAGGAGTGTACAAGTTAGATTGTGAATGTGGTCTCTCTTACATAGGTCAAACAAAAATATCCATAAACATCCGCCTGAAAGAACATATAGCTGACGTGAAGCACCGAAGCTCCGGGAAGTCTGCAGTCTGTGAACATGTTCAAGATCGTCCCTACCATTACATCAGATTTGATAAACCACGAATCCTCGCAAAAAAAACACCGATTCCTACCAAGAATGATACGCGAGGCTATTGAAATTAAAAAAAACATCTTAATTTCAATAGAGAAGATGGTTGGGTGCTGCCATCTGCTTGGGATCCTATAATTAACAAAATTAAACCCAAACCCAAGCATACAACTGTAAGACTTCAAGATACTGTAAGCTCGTTTTGTGTAAATCGGACCAAAAATTTATATTCAAAAACTAAAGGTAGCCGGGCTAACAATGACACTGGGACGTCAAACATCTCAGTCCCCCCCCCGTGACTATGGGTGCTGTAAAGCATCCGAAACGTCGGGAATTAAAAATAAGTAAAAGTAATTAATTAAACGCGATAGAATCCATACATTTAGTTTTATTCAATGTGTAGTGTTCGCGTAAATTTAAGAAATCATTATGTGAATTAGTACGGACTAGTAATAGCAAAAAAAATTCAAGATCTTAAAACCAAGCGCGCAAGATACATAACATCTTTAAATTTCCTGAAGAGATGCAGAGACCATTATCTTATTCTTACGTGTGTCAAAATATCAACAAAAAAGGACATTCGAGGAAGCGTTAAGATCTTAAATCAGGTAAGTAAAAAGTTGTTACGAACGGTGATTAAGCAGAAACGTTTCGATTTACATTTCATAAACAACACCATAGACAATTTATCCAGTGAACTAAAGACAGTTTTAACAAAATTTGATTTTAATAATTGCATCGAAACTTTAAACAAACGAGAAACATCAACATACAATGAACGCAAAAATAAACAAATGGAAAAATACCAAAAATTAACGATCGAATCAAATGCCAACCATCTAAGTCAACGTCAGAACGAAACACAACCGTTGACCATAGACGTAAACAACGTTATTAAGCTATTGCATAGCTTCTATCGCGGGCCTTGAGCCCGGGGACCGAATCCAGAAATTCCGTAACGAAAAAAAAACCTCACGCTCCCCACTCCGACGGGCACGGAGGTGTGGCGTTGAAAGCCGTGCATCGTCTAACGTCGTTTCAGTTCGGCAGACTTCGGCACTCAGCAGACTTCGGCACGGTGTTTGTGTGCGTGCGACTAGACGTATGCGTGTACACTAGCTGCTAACTCAATGATAAAAATTCCTGAATAACCTACATGTATTTTAAGATATTAAAAATATTTTAAGCAATATTAACTTCTCATTTATTCAATAAGAGAAAAAAATTGTTTTCTTATCGGTCACCACGCTCAAAAAGTGTAACTTGATTTAATATCAAAGACTTAACTGCATAAATAAAATAAATAAATAATTATAATTGCATAAGTTGATAAAAAATGCTATGCAATAGCTTTACCGCGGCAGTCACCGAGTGCCACACGTATTTTTTTATAAACAACGCACGGTATATAATCTGTCAAAACATACACTGTACAAACCTACAATAAAGGTATTAGCAAAGGGAATGAACTTCGCATTAACACCGCGAAAAATCCCGTACGAAGAAATTATATGCAGTGTTGAGGGTTGTCTGTTTAAGAATAATATCGGTAAGGAAGAGTTGGAGGCTAAACGTCAAGATATTTCTTCCTTGTTACGTCGTAGTACAGTGCCGAAACCAAACTTTCCTAAAGACGAATTTACAGGGTTGATTAACTTACGTAACATACAGAGCTAACGATTCTCCGCGCGGATAAAGGAAACGCCACGGTAATAATGGACACGTCAGAGTATAGTTTTAGAATTCTACAGCTTTTATCGGACGAAAGTACATACAAAAAGGTCAAAACAGACCCCACAACTAACTAACAGGCTTAAATTAACTAGCAATTTAATAAAAAAATACTCCGAAATACTGTTGTTAAAAATCGATAAGTATTGTTGTATAAGTTACGGGTACTTGACTATTAATATTTGCACAACACTGAGGTAGAATATGTAGAACAAATTATACTTGAACACAATTGTACAAACATATTCTTGCAAATAAAGATTATTATTATTATTTTGGGGTATCTATATAATTTTCTCATCTGGTTGGGTTCTATAAATATATAATTATAAATTAAAATGAAAAGATTAATATACATAAATTTCAATAAAATAATATATATACAAAAAATACATAAATAAATAAGATCCAACCAGATGGAAGCCCTCGGCAGGGAAAGACCAAACGGCCGAGGGTTAAGGGGAAGGAAAGGGAAAGAAACCGGCGGACGATGCGGGCTGTATCGAGGAGCACCACCTTCTGCATTTGAGCCTGGAGCGGTCCACCACGTAGTCCCAGCCGCCTCAGATTACTCGAGAGGCTGACTGAGATTAGCCCGTTTGCAGAGACGACTACAGGAATAATTTCGGTCGGCATTCCACCCCATATGTCGGTCACCTCGTGAGCCAGGTCCAGGTATTTTGTTTGCTTATCTGTTTCGGCTTTCACGAGGTTCTCGTAATACGGAATGGTAATGTCGACCAAAAATATTCTTGACTGTGCCCGGTCCATCAGCACAATATCAGGCTTATCTGTCGCAATCATTTTCGGGCATGGCTTCCGGCATGTAATACGACTATTTCCGATCCACGAGACCGTATTTCCTAGCGAGCTCCTGGTTAAGAATTCTGGCTACTAGGTTGTGTCTGTGCAAGTACTCAGAGTTAGAAAGCGCCGAACAACCGGAGATGACATGCCTAAGGGACTTACCGGGATGACGACAAACTCGAAAGGTGTCGACGGTGCCATCCTTTAGGATGTATGTCTGATAGTTGTTGGTCTTAATAAACTGATCTTGTATTGCACAGACAAAACCCTCGGTTTCCCCGAAGAGGTCACCAAAGCGTAGCCAATGGAGGGAGGCTACTTTACAAAAGGCTCTTGTAGAGCCTTGTAGAACCTCCCGTGGAGCTCCTTCGTTCAACGGTATCCGTCGGAATGTGAGGGTTTTGATTTGATGGCTAAGGATAGAAGGGTAAGTCCTTTATCACAAGAAATGACGTCCTTATAGAATGGGTCGTCCGATCTCGCCAAGAAGTAATCACGGAGGCTGCACACTTCGCGATTATGCATGGTGAGCGCGCTCAGAAAGCCACGCCCACAATGCTTTCGCGGCAAGTACAGCCTCATTACCGAAGATCTCGGATGATGCATCCTATGGGACGTCATGGTAGTGCGGACTTTTCTATCCAGTGCGTTAAGTTCAGTCTGAGTCCACCTGAGTATGCCAAATGTATACATGAGGACAGGCATGACCCATCCGTTATATGCGTGTGCCTTATTCACACCGGACAAAAGGCTGTTAAGCACTTTGGTCAAGCGTGCATAAAACATGTCGCAAACTGACTGTTTCATACCAGCCTCATCGATACCGATGTTTTGTAACATACCCAGGCATCGGTATATTTCAGCCTCGGAAAGGGTTCTTAAGATGACGGGCATAGATAAGTCTATGCCCTCAGAGTTAGCAACCCTTCCCCTTTTAACATGGAGGATCGCACACTTATCCGTCCCCAGCTCCATTCCAATGGAATTGCTAAATTCACAAGTGATGTTTTGCAATTCCATAAGATGGGAGCGACTGGAGGCGAATAACTTGAGGTCATCCATATAGAAAAGGTAGGTCACTTTTGTCCCTCCTTTCCATAGCTGAAATCCCCTCCCGGAGCCCTCCAGTAAGGTACTGAGAGGGTTCAGAGAGAGGCAGAACCAGATTGGACACAGACAATCGCCCTAGAAGATACCCCTTCTTATCCTTATGTGGTTCTCCGCAGCCATCCTCCGCTCGCCCAGATGACAAAGGATCGTACTCCACTGCCCTATACACTGCTCGAGGAAGTCTCTAACTGTACAGTCTATCTTGTAAAGCTCGAGGACTCTCTTTAACCATGTATGGGGCACCAAGTCGAATGCCTTTCTGTAGTCTATCCAGGCGGCGGAGAAGTTCTGACGGTTGCGTTTCACCACTTTGCCAATGACCGCGTCAATGAGGAGTGGTTCCTTGGTTCCACGGCCGCCTCCCCGTCTCGCAAAGGTCCCTGCTGGCTTCCAAATAGGTCAGCATTGGGTTCAGAGCCCTCACGACAGTCCGATTCCGCTTGCTTAGGGCTATGCGGGGAAGTCGCGGTCGATTTTCGAGAGGCGTACTGCGCGTTTCCACAATGTACTTCTCATATGCTCTAATTCCAGTTCCTGGGCGACTGTTCCATCATCGTTTGAATCAACCACAACTGGGGTATTCACGGCGGCATCCACGTTTGCGGGTTGCTCTATCATTTGTAGCACTGCATCCTCAGCCGTAGCATTTTCATCCGATGAGGGAACAGCCTCACGTCGTAGCCGTTCGAGTTCAGTGACATCAAATATATTTGAGCGCAAGATATACCGAACTCGGTCTGCCAGGTTTTGCTCTGTGACGGTTAAAGATGGCTCCAGCTCAGTAAAAAGACGATGCATCCTAGCCCGGTACGCCAAACATCCAGTTTCTTTCCCTTTTGTCCTAAAGTACGCCCGCAGTGCGTTTGTATTCATTGCTTGTGACCAACGCATGCGACGTGCTCCACCAGCGGCGGGTGCCGCTTGCTGAGTCCGAGAAGACCCAGCCGACACCAAGCCTTCTGGTGGGGATGATGGATGCGGAGGTCTGCTAGGTGACCCCCAAGCAGCGGCCTTTTGCGCACTATCTTCTTATCCATCATCCATTATTTGGGCGTCCATTAACGGGAGACGCCCAGGCCTGGCACCGTATCGTGTGTGGCCATAAGCACAAACGGGCCTCTGCACCCTAAATTCTGCCGAAGCACGGCGCTCACACCTCTCGCAAGGCGCTGACTGACTGCGTTGACGTAGCAGTTTTGTCACTTAACTGTTACGTCAGCGCGCGATGGGGTCGTCAAATCCCTACGCCAATTATGTATATAATTATTATTATTATTATAATTGAAAAATTAAATCTCGACGTGAATTCGCTAATACCATCATGTACCAAACCACCGAGGTTGTATGGGTTACCGAAGATACACGAACCAAACGCTCCACTACGTCCTATAGTGAGCCAGATCGAATCACCAACTTATAAGCTGGCACAACACTTGGCAAAAATACTGTCACCACTGAGAGGACATACCAGAGCACAAACAAAGGATTCATACCATTTTGTTAGTGAGATAAAAGACCTACATCTCGCTGACAATGAAACTATGGTCAGTTTTGATGTTCAGTCACTATTCACATGCCTACCTATTGAAGACTGCATCTCAATTGTAACTAGGAAGCTATAAGATAACAACATGGCTGCTGAATATGCAGTTTAACTCAAACATTGCCTCACCTCTGGCTATCTATTGCGGAAGAAAGAGTTCTACAAGCAAGTAGATGGTGTGGCAATGGGCTCGTCTGTATCTCTCACAGTCGCCGACATATTCATGGATGACTTCAAGGAGAAAGCCTTTCTTACTGCTCCTGTAAATCCAAGATTCTACAAGCGGTACGTAGACAACACTTTCACAATTTTACCATCTGACAAAGTAACTGCATTTTTAGATCATCTTAACTCTATAAACTCTAAAATACAATCACAATGGAGTTAGAGGCAAATAATTCTTTAGCTTTCCTAAATGTTTTAGTCATTCGAATTCCTGATAACATTATTGGTCATACTGTGTATAGAAAAAAGACCCATACCAACCGATATTTAAATGGTGAATCTCACCATGATCCTTCACAGTTAGCTACAGTGGGTAAATATTTGTTTCAGAGAGCACGAGGGATCTGTGACAGAAAACATCTGGCCGCCGAGTTTCAGCATGTCAAGCAAGTGTTGCAAGACAAGCTTCGGGTCTCGCGCCTACGTCACAGTGACCGAGTGAAGCCGGCCACAGTCGAGCGTGTGCCTGCTGTACTACCATATGTCAGAGGGGTCACAGACAAGGTTGGCTACATCTTGAAGCGGGCTTCCATTAAAATATACTACAAGCCGCCGAAGAAGATTAGTCAATTTTTACGATCCGTCAAGTGTAATATCTCTCTACAAGATACAGGAGTGTACAAGTTAGATTGTGAATGTGGTCTCTCTTACATAGGTCAAACAAAAAGATCCATAAAAACCCGCATGATAGAACATTTAGCTGAGGTGAAACACCGACGCTCCGGGAAATCTGCAGTCTGTGAACATGTTCTAGATCGTCCCCACCATTACATCAGATTTGATAAACCACAAATCCTCGCAAAAGAACACCGATTCCTACCAAGGATGATACGTGAGGCTATTGAAATTAAAAAAACATCCCCATTTCAAAACAAAAGATGGTTGGGTGCTGCCTTCTGCTTGGGATCCTATAATTAACAAAATTAAATCCAAACCCAAGCATACAACTGCAAGACTTCAAGATACTGTAAGCTCGTTTTGCGTAAATTGGACCAAAAATTAATATTCAAAAACTGAAGGTAGGCGGGCTAACAATGATATTGGGACGTCAAATATCTCAGTTCCCCCCGTATCAAATCCGTAAAATCCGTAAAAGTAGTTTTAATCAATGTGTAGTGTTCCCGTAAATATATGAAATCATGACGTTCACGTTTTTATTATCTTAATTTTTCTAGATATTGCATATTAACCTTCCTCACAATGAACACTAATGTTCTTATTATTAGGAAATTACTAGTAAATTTTATACATTGCATAACACCTCGGTGTATCCTACTACCAACTAATATCTATGAATACGTAATAAGTATTATGAACCTTAGTAACGTTATAATTAGGTTTAAACTCGCAAGTTTACTATCAAAGTTTGTCACTTCTGTTATTGAACTATTATTTATTCTGTGGTTTTAGAACGAATGGGTCTGCTCGACTGAAAGGACCAATCTTTCGCAGAATAATACTAATGTGTTTGTTATGGTGATTGTAGACAACCGGAGACTCATTTCACTGAAACTTCACAGGAAATGAGGCATTCCATCTATATCTTAAGGGGTGACTACGTATCCAGAGAATAGACATAAATGTCTTTAGGCCAATGCATTCACTTACCGATAGGTGGGCTGTGTAATAGTTGTTCAACTTATTTTATAAAAAAAGTAATAATGACACTTCATACTGTGAGGACTAAGACGGAATGCCCCGTTTCCCGTAAAAAGGGTCTCCGGTTCTCTACATTCACCATACGAAACATAGCAGCACTAAGCTACTATTGTATGCTGGTATTCTGTGAGAGCGTGGTCCTTCCCTGGTCGAGCCGACTTTTAGCACGAATAGTGCTACAACTATACTACAAATATAACTTCAGCATGGCTCTACTACGTCATTGTGTGTGACATGCGATTCATAAAAGCGTATGTGGTGTTTTTTGTTTTCTTCGCTCAACGTTTAATGTTAAAGTAAGCTTACAGACGCCGCACCGTGGATGACGTCGAAGTTTAATTAACACGAAAACTTTCAATGGAACTATTTGTCTAAGTTGCGCGGAAACAGTTACGCAGTACATCACTCTTGGGCTACGATAAAGTTATGCAATATGTTTAACTAGATCTGTTTGCTGGAGAATTTAGTGCGTTTGATGAGCTTTGAAGTTTAGTTTTTTAATTTGGACCGTGTCGTGCAGAAATGTTTCAAATTACAAAAACACAAGAGTATTCATATTTGAAGCTATATTGAGTTTAACTCTAAGGACCGCGAGATCGATTCCCGCACGAAACAAAAATTTGTATTCCTACAAATAATTGTCTGTCCGTAATACTTAGTATGGATGTTTGTCCTTGTGAAATCTATGTTTTTATGTTAACTGCCCCCATGATATACCTAGGAAACATTCTTAGTTTAGAGGTAACGTTATTATAAAATAGAAACTAAGTGACTTACTAGGCTCCACTAAAAGTATCGGGAATGGAATATTTCCACTGTTCCTGTCATATTAAAATCTTTTTAATTTAAAACTCCTTGGTTTTAATAATCGAATACCATTTATTTATTTTAAATAAAGATTCTCGGTTTTGTCACAAGGTTTTGTCAAACTTGTTTAGTCGTTGAGAAAATATTATGACTTTCGAAGTGGTTTAACACAAAAATATTGTGTTGACCGGATGATTTCTGCATTTGGTGATGAAGCCCCATCCAAAACCACAATTTATCGCTGGTTTGCTGAATTTCAAGGTGGACGTGTCAAGTTCAGTGATGATCCCCTTTAAGGTCGTCCAAAAGCTGCAGTCACCCAAGAAAACGTTGATGCTGTGCGTAAGCTGATTGAGGAAGATCAACATGTGACATACAGCGAAATGCAGGAGACTTTAGACATTGGTATGAGTCAAATACAAATAATCTTGCATGAACAATTAGGTGTAAAAAAGTTGTTTTCCCGATGGATACCGCATTCGCTCTGTGAAGAGCAAAAAGTGGCTCGCGTTACTTGGTGCGTCATAACTCTCGAAAGATTCCACGCAGGATCCTCAAATGCTGTATACAACATCGTATCAGGTGACGAATCCTGGATATATACGTACGAACTCGAAACAAAAAAACCAGTCACGAGTTTGGGTGTTCGAAAATGAGTTAAAGCCAACAAAAATTGTTCGTTCACGGAGTGTTGCAAAAAAAATGGTGGCCACGTTTGTCTCCAAAACCTGCCATGTTACGACTATTCCTCTTGAGGGACAAAGAACGGTTAATGTAGAATGGTATGCTAGCATTTGTTTGCCACAGGTCGTTTCTGAACTCACTCCGTAAAGAGAACTGCAACCGCCGCATCATCCTCCATCACGACAATGCGAGTTCTCACACCGCACACAGAACAAAAGAGTTTTTAGAGCAAGAAAACATAGAATTATTAGACCATCTGCCGTACAGCCCCGACGTAAACCCTAATAATTTCTATACTTTCCCTAAAATAAAGAATAAATTGCGTGGACAGAGATTTTCATTACCTGAAGAAGCTGTGAATGCCTACAAAACGACCATTTTGGAGACCCCAACTTCTGAATGGAATGGTTGCTTCAATTATTGGTTCCATCGTATGGAAAAATGTGTCAAATTTCGCGGAGAATACTTCGAAAAGCAATAAATACATTTTTAAATAGTAATATTGTGTCACTTCCTTGATTCCCGAAATTTTCAGTGCCGCCCTCGTACCCCTTCCAGTTGTTAACTTGACGTTTTGACTTTCATTAGTCTACTCAATAGAGTAAAAAAAAACCGACTTCAATTTACTAAAAGAATAAAATAATTTATACATATTAGCTTCCGATGTCGGGGCTAGATCGGATATGAATTTTTATATACACTATATCTTAGCACCGACCTCATAAGCTATTAAGTGGAAATTATTTTATTCTTTTAGTTCCAAGAGTATCAAGACGATTCGTGCTAGATACCACTTCCATACTTGCGCTGGTAATAAATTTAACCCTTGACCACCTAGCATACATTTTTGTTACACTATCACCTGCCATACGTCTGTGGGACCCAGGTCTTAAATTCATCTAAAGTTTTAAAATAAATGTGTGGGAGGTTTATTTTTTAATTCTAATTCGTTTAAATATTTTTTAAATTCTTTATTACAACATGAACAGCACAGAAAAAACTTAAGTTTTAAATAATGTCTTTCATAATCAATCAACATCTCTTATTACTTGCTTATAAACTAACATATTTGGTAAATGAGATCTCCAAAAATAATCACATTTTATAGGAAACTAGTAATGCTCTTTTCTAATTACTAAATAATCAGCAAATTAAACAAAAAAAATCAGTTTAAAAAAATTTACATTTCCACAAAATTGCAGACCCTGAAATTATAGTTTTTCATGGCAGCGAAAACACATTAGAGCACTGAAGGCAAATTGGTGATTTACATTCAAAACACATGTATTGTGTTTTGCGTTTTTTTGTATAATCACAAGTTTACAATTCTTGCGAACTGCTATCCTTTTTTCAGCATTGCTACCACTTGAAACTGATGGAGTGACAACCTCTTTCGCGTGAGAACGCACCCAATAGCGTTTCTTAAATCATGTTGCAGTTTCGCGTTATTGACACGACGGTTCATATGCGGTCTCGTTAGTTGTTCAGCTAGTTTCTTCATAAACTTGAATCTGCTTTCAATCTTCAGTCCTTCGGGTTGGACCGATAAGTTCACGACGTAGCAGTTTGAAGCTGAAATATCAAGAAGTCGATAAAATACTGCCAAGGGCCATCTGCGAGTGCGACGGGTAGTAGAATAATTCAGTCTAGAATATCTACTCCGTATTTCGTAATTTTGGCTTTTGAGTAAATTCATCAATATCTGGCGTGTGGTGCATACTTGAAATTGTAATTACTACTTTATTTTGTTTTGGAACATACGATGAAATGGTAAAATCTTTTGTAAATCCAAAAAGTGTAGAATCGATGTTTCGGTGGCGAGAAGGCAAAAATTCTGGAGGGATTTCTCTTTGATTTTTTCGAAGTGTACCCACGCCTGTCAACTGTTTCTTTTTTAGTGAGTCTAAGAGCTCAATAGAAGTGTACCAATTATCAGTTTTGACAATTCTGTTGGAACCTGCAATTGGAGGAATGAGACGCATAACCGCTTTAGTTGGTTTATTTAGTTGCTGACATTCAGCTGGTAAGTTAAGTCTATCAGAATCTTTGCCTTTGTATAAATAGGCATTGAGTAAGTAGCCAGATCTTGCATCTGTAAGACATTGAATTTTTATCCCGTACTTAGCTGGCTTCTTTGGCATGAATACTTTAAACCTGCATTGTCCCCGGAACGCAACCAATATCTCATCAATACATGCGTAACTGCCGATTGCATAAATAGCCTGGCAACGGGTAATAAAGGAATCAAAGAGGTCAGTTATAGGTGCAGCTGCATCAACTTCATGTCGGGCTTGTCTGGACAGGATGCAGCGACATTGTGAAAACGTATTGAATTTAGTAATACTTCGAGCCTACTTTTACTAATAATGCAGCGGTAAATTTCCCGACCAGTGCCGTCCGTAGAATACCATGACGTGTAGTCCTCTTGGTTTTCTTTGAAAATTGCCGTATAAAACAGGAATCCAATAAATGCTTTCAATTCAATGAGGTCTAAATCTTGAACACAGGTTTTATTTTGATAATTCGGCCTTATTTTATTTATCTTCAGGTTAGTGTTTACGACAATTTTTTCAAGCATTTCGTCCGTAAGCAAGTTTTGCCAAATATCAAATATCAATAAGATGACGCATTTAGCTTACTCTGATATGTTGACCTTACTCCAGGTGGTTCTTGCACAATATTATGATGTAACGTTCGCGATTTTTTCCGAAAAATTTCTTTTTCCTTGGCCGCGATCGCATTTGTGATAGGGGCTCATCATCTTCAGATAAAAACGCTTCATCATCTGGTGGAATCGAAGATAAAGAATTATGACACAAAGAATTTTCCCTCTCAGCTGTCTCTTCATATTCGGAATCTGATCCATAACTTTCTTCTAACACATGATTCAAGTCTACGTCACAATCCACGTCGCTACATTCATCGTTTGATATGTTTTCTTCATCTGATAGATCTTCTTCTAACCACCGCTCAATATTTAAGTCGTTAGAACTCATTTTTTTTCCTAAACAAAAAATACCCGTATTAAAAAAATCACACAACCACCTATCAGAGGTCTCCGAGACCCCATACGAAAGTTTTTACTTGCCAGAGACAAACGAACATGCGTCCAACCTTGACGAGCCGTTGCGCGGTACTGAAGAGGGAAGGGAAAAGGTACATGAACCGACAAGTTCATACGCGATTCGGGCGCAACAATATTTACGATTAATAATTCTACAAGATCTGTGAGACGTATGGCAGGTGGTTAAGGGTTAACAAAAATGTCTTCCTAGTTCCTCTAGGGGCATCTAAAAAAAGTGCACCATTTCTAGATTCAATTTGCCCTAATACTTTGTCAAAAACTTGTTTTTGTTCGGGAAGCAAGCGGGTTACAAATTCGGCTACTTGCTGCTGCAAAGCTGGTTTAACGTAGTTTGTTTCACGTATAATTTCAACACTTAGTTCATTTTAGGTTGTTCGCTGAGGGCTTATCATTCCAAAGTCGCTTATTTTTTTGCCTACCATTGCCATTACTTTAAATTTTTCCAAGTGCTTCATTATAAATGTGTTCATTGTATGTCATGTTCGCGTGTGTCTGCTGTAACCTTCGCAAAATATCTTCCGCCATGTACTCTTTATATTTTTCCCACAATTCATGTGCATTAGAAAGCCCACAAGATGATATGAGAGTTGCATAAAGATCCCTAATTTTGGCTGATAACTGGCACTGCACAGCTTCCTCAATGGTTTCATCCCAGTGATTATCGTTTTCTAAAAGATGCAGAGCTTCACATGCTTCTCTATAAGTTGCGCATTCCTGACCGTTGACAGTTTTAAGGTCTTTATATCCTGTAGGACCCCGAACATGGTGCAGCAGCAATCGTAAACAGAAACATTCAAAATTAGTTACATGGACGGTGTACACACGACCAAGGGCATCTGATGACTTTACACCGGGCCAATTTTCAAACAAGCGCGCCTTGAATACGGCGTTTCAACTCCTTCCTAGATGTTTTACAAGTATAATAGCAGGGGAATTCAGAATATAACAACGTTTTTGCAAAGGGGTCGGTTTGGTAAAGTTGAAAGAAGGCTGTTAGTGTAGTTTTTGGCGGTGATGCAATTCTTTCTTGGAAATTTCTTTCGGTGAAATATACACGCTCTCCATTTTCTAAGTGCACAGCAAGGTGAGTAACTGTTGGGTGTCTTTCGTGTAAAGGGAAGCCACGAAGACGCCACGCTGTCTCGTTACTGCTGACATAACGCCCTGCTTGAAATGTCTGTACTTTATTAACGGGATTTGCCTCTCCTTCACTCCTGATATTAAATATTGCTTGGTCGCTTGCTTTATTTATGTGCTTACAGATATACTTGATTTCACGAACAGAGCTACATGCTTCTACATTAATGTGGGCATAAAACATTTTACATAGAATGGGCGAATACGGGACAATCCAGCTGTTATCTAAGGTTTGGAACGCTCCAGAGCGAGATTTGATTGTAACTTTCCTGCCACCATCTTCGGGAGCTCTGCGTCTGTATAAATGGTAGCCATTGTCACTGTGAACTGTTTCTTTAATACGAGTAGCTGTTTAGGGAATTTATTTGTACATTTTCCTTCTTTCATACATGGCGATATTGAATTTCGTGCTCCACATGGACCTTGAATCATATTTCGAACGATGGTATCATACAATTCTTTATCTTGCTTAGGATCCGGAATCTCGGCGCTTATTATGTCGTCTATTTGGCTGGGCCGCAACTTCTCTTTAAGTCATATTAGAATGTGTCCTCTTTCTGAATCCTCTTTTTTGCCATTCAATTGAATACATGAAGCATTGCACCTCTCCGAAAATTCTCCCTTTGTTAATTACACACATTAATTTTTGTACTTTTAATCTAAATACTCTAGCAACTAAGTCGTATCTGTCAGTACTTTTTTGGCCCGGCATTAGCTCCTCGGTTATTTCTTTCCATGTGGGATTGCAAGTAAAAGTAACAAAAAGATCAGGTCTTCCGTAAGTTCGTACATAGGCGAATGCATCTTGTGTGTACTCATGTAGGTAACGGGGACTGTTAACGAATGATGAGGGCAGAATAACCATTACACCTAAATCTCTGGGGTTTACATTGGCGTCGCTTGAAACTGCATCTTGTAAATGTATATAATTCTCAACGCGCAGCTTTTTTTTGATTTAAAGATATATAACGGAGACGTTTACTTTCTACCTTCACATACATGTCTACCAAAAATTGATGAAATAATTGTCTACACCGGGCTAAGAGGTTAAAATCATTTTCTCGCAACATCATATGATACGCATAAAAATCCATACATGAAACATTTTTGTTCGGAGTAGGCTCCTTTGTGACCAGGTTAATGAGTGGAGTTTGAAAACGATAAACCTCTTGTCCTTTGCAATAAATCAAAGGGTATTACAGAGCGTCATAAAACTTTTATGTATCGGCTACCCGTTGCAACGTATCATCACGTGCTCGCAAGACAATGTCTCGTGAAGAAAATTGAACACCACTAATTACGGCTGCTATTTCGTTTATCAAAGGTGCATTGTAGCGCTTTTCATGCTCTCCTCAAGGGGTCCGATCTGCGTGAATGACGACTTTATAATCCGTTTTAGGTAGGTTTTCTAAAGCAGTTTTAAATGTTTTGACTAAAATGTTACGTTCATGCAAGAATCTTTGAATTTTGAACACTGTGTCTCTCTCAACTCCCTGGATAAATTGGCAGCGACGGTCTACCTCAATTTCTTCGTCACCCATAAAATATACTTGTTAAAATGTATGCTGTTCGTTTTTAGCTGGAAAAAGTGAACCTTTTCTATGATAAATTTGTCCTTGTACCGTAAATATAGGCGAAAATCCCGGCATTATTATTTCCCGGTCAACTCCGAAGGACGTCATTTGAAAGCATGAGTTATATTTCCGGATCATGTTTAAAAAGCGCCGTGACTCATTAGCATCATATAAAAAGAGAGTTTTAAAAGGTTCTTCTGGTTCCCCATGTAACGTAAGAGAGACTTTGCCATTGGAACAGCACATGCCTGCGGTCTCATCTTTCTATTTTAAAGCGCTGCAAAATCGATACGCATTGTCCATCAGTCCGATAACAACTAACCTGTGATTTTTATAATCAATCAACGGATCATAATTGAATGCTGCGTCATTAAATACCGACCAATTGTTTCTTTGAAAATTTTGTTGACGTTCAGCTTGGAGCTATGCTTAGATGCCCCAGATGACGTTCAGCTTGCTCAATGAGTATGTGTTGAGTTTCATCATGTGTTTCCGCGGTTCTCAAGGCGGCCTGACGACTTTGAGCAGGTGTTTCAGTAGCTCTTAAAGTAGATTGACGCTCTGCCTGTTCAAGACGCCTTTTCTGAATTTGATCAGGTGTTTCAGTAGCTCTTAAAGTAGTTTGACGCTCTGCCTGTTTAAGACGCCTTTGCTGACTTTGAGCAGGTGTTTCAGTAGCTCTTAAAGTAGCTTGACGTTCTGCCTGTTCAAGACGCCTTCGCTGACTTTGAGAAGGTGTTTCAGAAGCTCTTAAAGTAGCTTGACGCTCTGGTTGTTTAAGACGCCTTTCCTGACTTTAAGAAGGTGTTTCCAAAGCTCTTAAAGCAGCCTGATGCTCTGTCTGTTCAAGGCGCCTTTGCTGACGTTGAGAAGGTGTCTCAGGTGCTTTAAAGCAGCCTGACGCTCTGCTCGTTCTTGCCTTCTCAGTTTTTTTTTTATAGAAGAAGGGGCAAACGAGCATGTGGCTCACCTGATGTTAAGTGACTACCGCCGCCCATGATCAACCGCAACACCAGGAGAATTGCGGGTGCTCTTTTCTTGAAGGTCCCCAGGTCGTATCGGTCCGGAAAAATCGCCGGTGGTAAACTATTCCACAGAGAGGTTGTACGTGGAAAAAAAAACTCCTTGTGAAACGTACAGAGGTGGATCGCCAAGCACCCAGATGGTGTGGATGGTATCGGGACGTTTGACATGTAGTGCGTTCACGAAATTTGGCGGCTGGGATTAATCCGAACAATTCCTCAGAGCACTCCCCGTGATAGATGCGATAAAATACGCAAATAGATGCAACATCTCTTCGCAGCACCAGTGAATCGAGCCGATCGGAAAGCACTCGGTCGTCGACGATTCGAGCCGCTCTGCGCTGGATGCGGTCAAGTGGAAGAAGCTGGTACTGGGGGAGCCCCAGCCCAGAGATGGGAACAGTATTCCATGTGCGGCCGAACCTGCGCCTTGTAAAGTTGCAGGCGGTGTGCCGGCATGAAATACTGTCCCGCTCTGCTGAGCACGCCAAGCTTTTTAGAGGCCAATTTGGCCTTCCCTTCCATTTCAATTTAATAAATCAAAACAAACGTTCGTTTATATTCAAATGCACATTGAACTTTGATCCTTTGGAAGTTGTATATCTTATCTAACGCACGACCGTAACACAGTTTTTAATATCCTCCACAAGATGACACTAAACTGTAAAAAATGCGGCAAGGAAATAATAACTAAAAAAGGATTTTCTAATTTGTGTTCTTTGTGAAAAATATTACCATTTAGATTGCACTAGTGTCTCGTATCAACGTTTTGTTTTAATGACGCATGACAGAAAGAAAAATTATAAATGTCACGCATGCCTTTCACCTTTATGTAATAAACAAACATCCCCAAGATCCACGACCGTATCGCCAGAGCATCAGGATTATGTTACCCAACGCAATAAATATAAATTTAACGTTAATACGGTTAACTCCTTTAAAGAACTATCAGATGAAGAAACAGAAGGTGATTACTCGTCCCTGACTTCAACCCCAATTAATACCTTAAATAGAAGCTACACAGAAATAAAAAAGAAATCCAAATTATAAAATTGAAGAATTAAAAGAGCAAACTCACAAATTGGAACAAAAACTGGAAATAGCAGAAAATGAAATCGAAAATTTGTTATCGGAAAATCAGATGCTAACTAAACGAATTTCCGAATACGAATTAAAAA